ACTAAAACACTTCGCAGTCGACCGCCATCGCGAATCCCAGTTCCCGTGCATTCGGCATGTGCAACATCTCAAACGCCAAACTCGAAATCTTTCAACTCCAAAGAAAAATCTTTGAAAGGCGTATCGCTTGTTAGGTTGTACTGGAGTCCATCCAGACTTCCAGTGAGCACGCGCACAACATCGATAAGAACAGGCCAATCCGCCATGGACAAAATCCGTTCCCGGTACAACCTGCTCTGTCACATTTACAACCTATCACAGTGAAGAATCATCCGTTGGAACGACCAGTCGACAGACAACTCTTTTCGGACTCCTCGCAACTTGCAAATGGTTTAGAATCAGACACATCTGGAACTGGCAATGCTATGCGGTTAGTTTCGAGTGACGCATTTGAATGCATGCTTGGGCCAGCAGAAGCTCGGAATGAGAAGCCAAGGGAACTTGTGTATATGATAGCCGCGCAGCCTTCCTCACACCCGAGCCATTTGGACGCGCCACTACATCTCCCAACCTCAACCCAAGATACAGACCAACATTCTTGAAACAAACAAGGCTCGAATAGGCTTCTTAATGGCTGCGGCAACTCTTTAGCTGGTGCAGATTCAATTCAAACCATTTCAGCCAACATTTTCAAAGTACTCGAGCCATTCCTCAAAGATTCTGAGAGGGAGAAACAAGCAGCTGCTCAACTTCTTTCGGCACAACTGAAGGATGGGCTTGCACAGTTCGAGTTATGCGGAATCAAGTGCAGTCATACATCGGCCATGGTTCAAACTATCGAAAGCGGGACTAGAAACGCGTTGAATACGTCTACCTCAGCGATAAAGAGGCAGGGTTTGGATCTTTCGTCATCTCAGGAGAAGCTCCGACCGACTCTAAAATTCAGACTCGCCCCAGGCATTCGCTACGCGTCTGAACCAGAATCAGTGTCGGGGTCGTCATGCGGGAGGGTATCCGTAGCTGGATGCAGTTGTAACGGCAGTGAGGAAACATGCACAGAAAACAGCGAGGAAGGGTATCTAGGACCAAAACGCCAAAGTGATGCTCGATTGGAGGAAGCCAAGATGACATCTAAACTGGCGCTGAGCCGATATTACTCGAGCCTCGAAGCGGCGAATGCGCAAGAACAGAAGCTGGCAGACAATGCCGAAACTGCCTCCTCAACTGACACTCTGAATAAGATGGGATGGAATGTATCTTCTTTTCAAACGTCAGCATCCGCAATTGGTCGGTACATGGAAGGGTACCCTATTGCCAAGTCGCTGGCACCTGAGTCTGGGTCCTCAGCAACTCGAAGAAAACGGGTTGGAAGCAAAAAAAGGGAATCCAACGCGACTAACATCGACAAGGGTCCACTGCTGGGATCCGACACACTGGATGTCGTGCGAGCGAGGGCTGCTTCAACAAGATCGCTTGCGTCAAATCAGTCCATGATTGCGAGTGTGGGCACGTTGCGTTCGAGGTTAACGTCTGTAGAGCCTCAAAGCGAGTAGGTACATTCGCTATGCGAGCAGCCAGTGAATGTAGTTTAAGTAGGTCACATGCATTCATGTTAAGGATCACCAAGCACTAAGCATGTTTGAATAATCTGATCTGTGGGACAATTGAAGCGTATCACAAAATAAATGCGGGAGGAAGAAGAACCGCTGCTTCTCGATCAGAACACAGCTCAGTCTGCGCATCCGCAACCACGCAGAGTAGCCTATGCAGCAACGGGGCCTCAACCGGCAACGGCTCGGCGGCTCGGTTCGCTCGGCATGGCTGTGAACACTGTGGGACCAGTGCGGAGCATGAACATGTCGCGTGAGTCTTTGCACTGTACATCTATCGATTATAGCGCCGAACTTGATGCTTAGCATCGTTGGTAGTTGCACATATCTGTTGCTCACATATGCTTGTCTCCAGCTGTGCATGCAAGCAGCAATATCAACCACCCAAGCTCCAACAACCTCACTGGCTCCTCAGATTGGACCACCGATATCAGTGCAGCTCAATCCTTCAGTCGCGACATGTCGTTTTCAACAAACCCGAATCAGAATCTTCTCGGCGCAACTCCTCGAGCGTCCATCTTCAACTCGAACTCAGCCCAGCACTCAAACTCTTCATCGAACTCGAAATCGCAACATCGTCGGGCAATAACCCCGCCGAGCAACTTGCATCATGCAGGTTTAAATATCAACAAGGGAAGGGACAGCAACATGACCACCAGCTGTGCTCGAATTCTCTCTTCTTCGTATTCTTCACTATCCTCTCAGCATAGCATGGTCGTCATGCAGTCCTCTAGGCACTTCAATTCTCTGTCCCCCCGTGCAGCCGGTTCCACCGCGTCAGCTGATTCGCTCGGATTGGAACGGAATCCAATCTCATCGAAAAGCAGCATTGGGTTCAGTCCACATATCCTCGCTCAATCTGACGACCAAATATTCACTTCGTCGCATTCACACTCGGATTCAACGGCAAAAGATACCGCAAGTGAAGCGCACCCTTCTGCGTTTGAGGATTCAACAAGCAACCATGGCAATGATACGTCAAGTGGAAGCCATAGTTGGGATTTTGGGCCCGATCCTTTGCCTGCTAGAATTCCGTCTGCCGAGAGTGAGCAAGATACTCGGAAGCAAAAAAGTCTCGCTGAGCAAGGAAACCCGCCCGCAGAGACTGCCAGCAATTCCCGTCTACCGCATTTAGATGACTCTCCAGCAATAGGCAGAATATTGAACGATGATTTCCGAGAGCCTGCATCACCACGTCCGGTGCCTTTTATCGACTTGTCAAAGTTGGAACCCGAGGGAAACTTGTTCTTGGACACTCCTCGAAGCAGATCAGCCAGCTCAAACAATCGCGCCAGAAACAAAAGCGGTGGCAGCAGTGCGACAGGAACGATTCGGAGAAGGTTTCGCACAAGCGACCATCACGGCAATCCAGACAGTATCATGGACGACACTGAGGACGAAGATCGCGAATCTAATCAACCATTTAGCCATCGAAATCATCTAGACTTTAACATCATCTCTGACTACCTGACCTCGGTCATGATCAATTCGAGCGCAGACTTGTACGACTCGTTTCATTCCAACCAGGCTGAGACAGCACCAGCAAACACTTCATGGCGCCATCGAAGCAGCCTTTCTGGTCGTAATTTGGATCGCGGCGAATACTATTATCAGCAAAAATCTATGCGTTTCATGTTTCATAGCGACGTGACAGAGACTGTGCGGAGCCCATTGTTTGAAACACTTCCATTGGCCTCGTATGAATCCTCGATAGCTGAGATCCTACAAGCTGGAACATTTTGGCTGGACGTGTGCAATCCAACTTCGGAAGAAATGAACACACTTACTCGGCTCTTCAAAATTCATCCTTTGTCAGCCGAAGATATCATGACTGAGGAGACGCGAGAAAAATGCGAGGCGTTCCCGAATTATTATTTTATAGCCATTCGCACATTCGATAGCGATCAATTCAGCGCCACATACATGCAGCCCATTAACGTTTATATTATCGTGTTCCGCGAGTGTGTTTTATCGGTATGTCTGGGTGCGAGTATTCGTTGTCAAAAGTCTGACTTTATATTTCAGTTTCATTCGCAACCCATCGTCCATCTGAACAACGTACTGAATCGTGTGGAGCAGTTGAAATTGTATGGTCTGAATATCTCTCCCGATTGGCTCAATTATGCTCTCATTGATGACATAACCGATGGATTTATGCCATCTTTGAGACACATTGAATTGGAAGTTGATGCAATCGATGAGCTTGTGCTGATTCTGAAGGAGAGAGAGCAGGTATCATATCGTGTCTTGCTTATTACCTGTCGCGATGTTCCTCAATTGCAGGTATTGCCATTACTCAGAGTGATATGCTACGACGCATTGGCCATGCCCGTAAACGTGTGATGGTGTTACTTCGACTGCTCATCACCAAGGCGGATGTGATCAAAGCAGTAATCAAGCGATGCGGGCAGAGACTTGCGCCTGAAAGTGAAACAACTCTCTACTTGGGAGACATTCAAGGTAGGACTTGACCGGTTGCTGCAAACGTGAACTAAGCCAACCCGTTTAGACCATATCATCACAATGGTCCAGACACTCAACCACTGCGACAAAACACTGACACGATCCCATAGCAACTACTTGGCCCAAATCTCGATCGAAATCACACAAGCATCCAACCGCACTAACGACGTTGTTCTCAAAATGACTGCACTCGCAAGTATCCTTGTTCCGCTCAACATTATCACGGGATTATGGGGGATGAATGTGAGAGTTCCAGGCGAAGAGAGTGAAGGTTTGGCTTGGTTTTTTGTTGTTTTGGGGCTTATGGTGGTGGTTGCGATTGTTTCGTTCATGGTTGTGCGGAGACATAATATAGTTTGAACAGGCAACATGTTGTTTAGTGGGAATGAATTCAATGTGTGCACAGATTCAAGTGCAAAGTGCAAGTGGTCGAGCAAGGAGCGTGAAGAGGTGCAAACATTCTGGTATAGTTTGTATTAAGAGTATTGCATCGGGGAAATGGCCGAGTGGTCCAAGGCGCTACGTTCAGGTCGTAGTCCAGCAATGGGCGTGGGTTCGAACCCCACTTTCCTCACCCTTTTCGTTATCATGCACAGGCTTGTGCATATTGAACTATGTTATTCTTTTTTTTTTTTCCCACTATTCTGCTATGCTGGGCTGATAAGACGATTTCTAATAGATAGAGCTCGTACCTCACTGTTCATACTAGAGGACATGGAGCAAGATGCGCCTTGACTTCCAAATGTCTCATGAAAAGTGGCTGGCGTCAGAACGTGACACATTCTCGCATGTGAGTTCAATGAAGAAAGCATAAAGCCGCACGTAAAGGGACTTTATTCTTGGTCGATTAATATCGATCAAGCGCTTCCCTGAGTATTGATAAGCTAGTTTGAGTTGCCGAAGGTGCATCTCGATTTAAATGAAGTAATAAGTTTGACCGAGCAATAGGTATTATAATTAATAATGTTTGAATTTTAATTTATTATAGCGTAGTTGGCCGAGTGGTCTAAGGCGTCGGTCTTAAGATCCGATATGGTAACATGCGTGGGTTCAAACCCCACACTACGCATCGTTTTTACACCACCGTCAAACAGGTGGAAGATGTTGTTGGTCTTCAGCGAATCACAACGGGCTGAAAGCAAAGTACGTAACGGCAAATACAGTGAAACGCGAGGTCATGAACAAAGAACAGCTTGATTTGAGCACAGAGCAAAGATAAATCTCATCAGCTTTTTGCTTGCCAAGTATGCACCTTTCATGGCATGTTTCTGTCACTTTGCATTTTCCCAATCTATTTTGAGACGTTAATTTTGGTGTCGTGTCGTCCAATTGCCCATGAGTAGCACTTAGAACAGATCTCTTATCTCTAGATTGGTACGTGTGGCGTACAAGAGGTGCCACAGTTGATATTGAATGAGAGTTTATTTAGAGAGTTCTAAGTACAGATGTCTGTCGTGTAAACACTGATAATAAAGGATAGGCCGTAGCATTTATCGATCCTAAACAAGCATTTGTGTCAATAAAAGACAGGCAAATGTGAATAATGCATCTTGCGCATTATTTTGCTGATCACGCTTGAGACGGCATTCATTTACACTGGCTGCGCATTCAGGAGCAGTTCTTCCTCTGCAACTGATTCAACATTATTATGTGCACCTTTATAGCATTTTGACTGAACAGAAACAGCGTCTTGTCATGATTCATGGATCAAATTCGTCAAAGATACACCTTCGGTGACTCATCTAAGTGATAGCCTATGAATGCTCAGGGAGGCAGGCATTGCACAAACATTGTTTCAATCTCTGAAACATGTGCCGTTTTGATCGCCGACCAAGAATAAAGTCTCGGAACACCTGACTTTATACTTCCTTTACTGAACTTAAACTTGAGAGAGCGTGTCTAGATCTATACTATGAGAAGGTGCTCAAGGCGGATGCTGGTGCCCCTGTACACAGCCACAATCATTACAAATGCGCATTTGCATGCTTGCAGGTCGAATGGTGATAGTATTTTGGCCTCCAGTCCAATGTCTGTAATGTACGTGTTGCGCTAGTGCAACGCATCCTGCACAACGCGAAGTCTTACCAAGAGCCAGAAGCCCTTTCCAACAAAGTTCGAATCGCAAACATTTAACTTGTCGCTTTTTTGTGCATCCCAATCCGTGGAAGCCTGCCGACAAGTCAAAACATAAGTAGATAGCTCGCGCTTTTTGTTCACCTCATGGGATTTTATTTTCCGCACCCAACAAAATGACGGCATTAAAGATGAATGTGACATAATCGTCCCCCAACTCACCACTATGCACCGTGTTGCATGCGATGTGGCCAGAATGTTTCAATCACATTCCTAACCACTGCCAGACCTTTCTTGCTCCCGGCAGTATTGGCATTCAAGTTAAATCTCGTGGTCAAGGACCGACCGATTCAATAAGGTGACGTGACAAAAGGTGAACAGAGTGGGATTCGAACCCACGCCTATTACTAGACCACAACTTGAGTGTGGCGCCTTAGACCAACTCGGCCATCTGTCCATGTCGCATTGAAAGAAACGTTGCATGATTATTACAAGTAAAAAGTACTTCGATTGCCTTTTCAAATGAGCTGCCGCTACTGCAGCATGATCCTGCGCATCTAAATCATTTCCATGTGTGTCATGATTCATGGATCAATTTCGTTGTAGATACACCTTCAGTGACTTTATCTAAGCTACAGCCTATGAAAGCTCAGGGAAGCAGGGCGTTGCACCATTGTTGTTTCAATCTGAAACTGGTGCCATTTGATCAAAATTAATCGACCAAGAATAAAGTCTGTGAACACCTGACTTTATACTTCCTTTATTGAACGTAAACACAAGAGACTGTGTCAAACTCTGACAATGTGCCACTGACACATCCACAACCTGCATTGTCTCTCTCGAGATCATGAACGCAATCCCCGCAACCACCGCAAATACGGCAGATGCAACTGCCAGAACTCCAAGGATATCCACAGCTAGTTCATGAGAAGGAATGAATATGCACAGAGGGCAGGGATTAAAGATTCAGAGGTAATCGTAAAAGTTGTCCGAGTAAGCATCCTAACCATATTCATTGCTGCCGGAGTTGTCATCACCACAATTGCAATTGATTCTGCCACACCTGTACCTGAGAAATATGTCTTCACAAAATTGTGGTAATATGGGCACATGCATGACAGCAAACATATGCGCGTCAAATGCTTTGTGAAGCAAGTTGAAAAGTATTACTATGGAGCCCTGCAAAGGAGGGATTCAGCTATGGCTTGGGGTGGGTGCATGACATAATGAAAATTTCCCCTACCTGGAGCCAGATTTGTGATTTGTCTGTCTGTCTGTCTGTGTGTCCCACTTTCTACTGTTTGCAGTGTACTGTAAACATGTGTTTATTGATTATTGATTTATGCGTGTGTTGAGCCAGTGACACAAGAAAAAAGAAAAAGTCACATGACATCAATAAATTGGGACGGGTATTAGACTAGGATGTAGCTGTAAACCTGTGGTGAGTAATGGGTGTGAAAGTATAGGTATGATTAGACCAATGTATGGAGTGGTGGGAGTCAATGGGCAAAGGAATATTAACAGATGATAAAGTGCTACATATTTAACAATTCCAGTTTAATGGACCAAGGGTGTGGGAGCACTTCAAAGGAGCAAGAGTCGGAGCAGAAGAGGAACTATCTTGCGCGCTGCTGTCTTGAGGCTGAAACTGACTCCACAAGGGCAGCTGAATTGCAAGAAGCAAGAGCCTGCTATGCTGCTCAGCAAAAGGAACTAAGAGCTTCAGAAAGCCGTGAAGCCGCTGAGCTGAGGAGGAGACAAGATGCAGAGTCCACACAATTACAGCAAGCTGCCCGGGATGGTGCTGAAATCAATGAACGCATTCACCTGCAAGACGCTAAACAGCACAGGCTTCAGAGAGCATCTATGGACTCCATCAACCATGAGCAAATTCTCCTTTGAAACACACAGCAGCGCAGTATTCAGCGATCATCAATGGATGCTGCAGAATCCAACTGCATGTGTCTACAAAACACACAGCAGCACAGTATTCAGCAATCATCAATGGATGCTGCAGAATCCAACTGCATGTGTCTACAAAACACACAGCAGCACAGTATTCAGCAATCATCAATGGATGCTGCAGAATCCAACTGCATGCATCTACAAAATACAGAGCAGCACAGTTTTCAGTGATCAGCAATGGACCCTGCAGAATCTGAGTGCATTTGTGAGCAAAATGCAGAGCAGCATCGCATCATGTGTGAAACCATTTTCCAACAGCAAAAGAACATGATTATATATCAAGCAAGGTCATATGGAATCTGGGGGAATGACAAGGATCTCACTCGAAAAATTCACAAACTCTTGGGTGAGTGCAGAAGTCACATTCTTTTATGGAAAGAAATATCTAAATTCCCAATAATAGAAAATAAACTGCTATTCCATGAAAAACTCTTGTGAAA